ATTGGGGTCCTATAGGTATCCTATAGGATCCTATCGGATCCGATAGGAATCCTATAGGGATCCTATTGTATCCTATAGGGATCCTATAGGGATCCTATAGGGGTCTTATTGTATCCTATAGGGATCCTATAGGGATCCTGTAGTATCCTACAGGATCCTATAGGATCCTATAGGATCCTATAGGTGTCCCTACAGGATCGTATAGGGATCCTATAGGGACCCTATAGGGGTCCTATAGGGATCCTATAAGGATCCTATAGGATCCCTATAGGATCGTATAGGAATCTCTATAGATCCTATAGAGATCCTATAGGATCCTATAGGGATCCTGTAGGATCCTATAGGGATCCTATAGGGACCCTATCGGGATCCTATAAGGATCCTATAGGGATCCTATAGAGATCCTATAGGATCCCATAGGGATCCTGTAGGGATCCTATAGGGATCCGATGGGGATCCTATAGGGACCCTATAGGGATCGTATAGGGATCCTATAGGATCCTATCGGATCCGATAGGAATCCTATAGGATCCTATGAGATCCAATAGGAATCCTATAGGATCCTATAGTATCCTGTAGGGCCTCCGTTCCGGAGCCTCGCCGGAGCAAACGTCGGAACCTGCTTGGGGTTTCGTTGGGCGGACATAAGGAAAGGTTTTTTTTTGTTGTTGTCGGGTTGCTGGGTTGCTGGGTTGCTGGGTTGCTGGGTTGCTGGGTTGCTGGGTTGCTGGGTTGCTGGGTTGCTGGGGGGGGGGGGGCTAGCAACGGCGACTTTGTCGTCCGCCTTGAGTACTAGTAGTCGAGGCGGTCAGAGCGAGCGCGTCGGGACGCGTCTCTCATGACGGCCTTGACCTTGTTGTTGTTGTTGTTGTTGGTGGTGGTTAAGATTGTGGTTGTGGTTGTTGTTGTTGGTGTTGGTGTTGCTGTTGTTGTTTAAAACACCTCCGACTACACCTATAGGAGGCCTTTAGAAGATGGGGCAGGGCCCGCCTTTGCTGCCCCGCCGGCGCCCTCGTGGGCGCCGCGGGAGGCCGCCCTCGCTGCGAAGGGGGGGGAGGACAGGGGAAGCCATGGGAGGGCCAACTTGAGGCATCGGCGTCCGTCCTCCCTCCGCCCTCCTCCTGGTCCTTTTCCTCCTCCTCCTCCCTCCTCCCTCCTCCCTCCTCCCTCCTCCCTCCTCCTTTCTCCCTCCTCCTGGTCCGGGATGACCGCCGAGGTTTCCACTAGCCATGATCTGTAGACGCGCTAACGGCGTCGTAGGTAACGGCGACGTAGGTTTCGGTATTGTAGGGGGGGGGTGGTTCGTGGCCAACCCCATTGTAGGAAAGCGCTGTTCGTGCTTTCCTGCAACCTGCTCTGCGGGAGTTCGGCGTCGCAAAAACCATTTCCCAACATCGCCGTTAACCAGCATCGCCGTCAGCGCGGCCTTGGATAATCCGATGAAGAGGGCGCGATTGGCGTTGGCGTAATTGGAAAGGAAGCGTGGAACATCATGGGGTAGGAAACTCTAAAACCCAAGCTAAACTAGAAGATAGGTGACCTAAGTTTGATTCGATTTTATGTTCCGTGGGAAACTCCCAACCATATCTAGATCCCCCTCCTCTTTGGTTTCATTAGGGTCAGGGTCCCCTCCTCCTGCGAAGGGAGTATGGGCGCATTCGAAGGGAACGAGGAATGCGAAAGTATGAAAGAGGAAACTCGACGGGTATGAAAGAGGAAACTCGACGGGGAAGGAAGCCTGCAGATGGAAGGGGCAATCACGAAGGGAAGCGATAAAGGGGGAAACGCAAAGGGGAATGAGACAGGAGCAAGCGAGAAGCGCGAGGGAGGAACGGAGGCACACGAACGAGGAAGGGCGCGGAGAAGCGCGACGAGAGGAGCGCAGAGGGAGAAGCGAAATGGTGGAAGGGGTAACAGAGGAGTGCGAGGGGAGGTGGCAGCAGGGAAGGGGAGTGGGGAGGAGACAGGGCTGCCAAGGTGCAGCTGGTGCGGAGCTTCGGGCTGCGGGCAGAGGGCACCCAGTTCCCGTGGTGTCTGGAATCTCGCCCGCACCTCACCCCAGAGTTCGCCAGGGAGGTGTTCGAGGCCGAGAAGAGGGTTGCCAACCGCTTCTCACCGGACCTCATATACGAGTCTTCCTTCGAAATCAATGGCAACGCCCGGCGCCTATCTGAGCTTCTCAAGGTGCCCCTGCTGACGGGCGTCTTCAGACCAGACTTCCAGCATGTATCTGGTGGCCTTCGGTCAATCCCGCCGCCGTGCCTGGCTGGGCCTTGGGCCACAAGGCCTCTCAGAGGCCTCTTGGGTCTCTTGGAAGGCCTCTGGGGGACTCTTGGATGCCTCTTTCGTTTGGTGCCTCCTGGGCGCCTCCTCGGTCTTAGGTGCCTCTTGGGCGCCTCTTTCTTGGGCGCCCCCTGGACGCCTGGAGGCGGCTTCGGGGGCCCTCTTGGGGTGGATGGCCCCAAAGGCCCTCTGGAGTTCTCTCTCACGGGTGGCCCCGCTTGGGGCCTTCTTGGGGGCCTCTTGGACTCCTTTTTGAGGGCTTGGGGGCCATCTTGGGGCGATCTTGGGGGCCTTCTGGGACGGCTTGCACGCTCTGTTCAAGACCTGAAGGACGAGCGTGCGGACATCATCAACCGCCAGCGGCTCTCCCGCGATGCCAGCTTCTTGGGCCGGACCCGTGCCTCTCTGCCCTGACCTTCCAGGAGGGCTAAACATGATCGACCCACGAACCCGGAAAGGAATATAGAACTGTAACACATGGCAGCGTTTTCAAAGACACCTCTTTGGGTCACGGGCAAATGCAATGCTGAGTGTATCGATCTTGATGTACCCTGCCGAGGGCTGTGCTGTGCTGCGCCGTGCTGAATTGCGATGTGCCATGGCGCGACTGTGCTCTATAGCCTCGTGGATCGAGTCCTCCTTTGCATCCGAGTCCTGACCGAACTGATCTGGATCTTAAGCTCGAGCTGCCTGAACACATAGTAGCTGCCCCAGAGCTAATGGACAGGGGAACATGCCAGGAGGACGCGCCGCGAAACGTCCCAAGGGATGCGCCAGGCGACGTGCCAGGGGACGTGCCATGGGGTCGCACCGCGGGACGTGCCAAGGGGACGCGCTACGGAACGTGCCAATGGATGTGCCACGGGATGTGCCAGGGGACGCGCCACGCGACGTGCCAGGGGGACTCGCCAAAGGACGCCCCACGGAACGTGCCAAGGAACGTGCCAAGTTGCAATGCTGAGTGTATCGACCTTGATGTACCGTGCCGAAATCAGTGCTGTGCTGCGCCGTGCTGAATTGCGATGTGCCATGGCGCGATTGTGCTCTATAGCCTCGTGGATCGAGTCCTCCTTTGCATCCGAGTCCTGACCGAACTGATCTGGATCTTAAGCTCGAGCTGCCTGAACACATAGTAGCTGCCCCAGAGCTAATGGACAGGGGAACATGCCAGGAGGACGCGACGCAGAACGTCTCAAGGGACGCGCCAAGCGACGTGCCAAGGGACGTGCCATGGGGACGCACCGCGGGACGTGCCAAGGGGACGCGCTACGGAACGTGCTGGGGACAAGCGTTTCGCTCGAGACATCCTGTCAAAATCATCTGAATTCCTACGCGCGGGACGCTGCACGCGCGAGACATCCTCGGAATTCCTGCGAGCGGGACGTGATAACAAGCATTTCGCCTGAGACATCCTTTGAATTCTGGCCCCCCACAAGGCCACCGCTCGAGACATCCTCCAATTTTGCAAAACCAGCGTTTCGCTCGAGACATCCTCTACAAATTATGAAAAACAAGCGTTTCGCTCGAGACATCCTGTCAAAATCCAAAGAAATCCAAATACCCGCGCGCGGGACGCGGCACGCGCGAGACATCCTCAGAATTCCTGCGCGAGGGGCGCTTTTCCGTGTCGCGGTCGGCTCTGCAAAACCAGCGTGTCGCTCGAGACATCCTCAACAAATTCTGAAACCAAGCGTTTCGCTCGAGACATCCCCAACTCTGCAAAACCAGCGTCTCGCTCGAGACATCCTCAACAAATTCTGAAAAACAAGCGTTTCGCTCGAGACATCCTCAACAATAATTTCGCCGGCCCTCTTCCCGCACGTAATTTATCGCAGAATGATTTCGCCGGCCCACCTCCCGTCGAAACCGGGGGGTAAACCAACTAAAAGAGAACCCTGGGCCTTTGCCCTTTCCGGGAAAAATAGCACGCGACTTAAAAACCTTTCCCAGAGCTATTCTACGTCTTGGTTTTAGGCTGTTTCGTTTCGTTTTTTAGGTTTTTGGGCCTCCCGTGCTGAAAAATAGCTCTCTGGAAGGTCAGGGTGATGGCCCACGAGGCCCCAACAGAGCCCCTGGACGGCTCCGCTGGACCCTCTCAGGGCGGCCGGAAGGTCTGGACTCCGAGAGCCGCGCCCCCGAGGCTCTGGCGACGCCGCGCGGCAAAAGCCCAGGCAGCGCCTCGGGTGCGTGTCCGGCGGCGCCCAGAGCTCGTGGGGCCTGCGCTCCTCCGGGAGTGCTTCTTCGCGCTGCTCCGTGCCGAGCGCGCAGGCGAACACGTTTCGACGGTAGTGTTGCACCGACCGAGTCGGTTTGGGGGCCCTGCCCTCCTCCTCGCCCTCCTCCCTCCCCGCCCTCCCGCGCCCTCCTCGCCCTCCTCGGCTCAGGGCAGGGACCTTGGCGGCACTCCACTTCGTGCCTCGGGCAGCGGTGGCGGATATGATCTGCCAGGCTTCACGACCAAGATCGACTTCTTCGACTCTGGCGAGAAGCGCCCTGCGCTGCTCAACCGAACGTACCTCCACTACAGCAGCCTGCTGGGGCGGGTGCCCGCGGAGCTCTCTCAGAGCCACCAGGTGACCGGCTTCCTGCACGTGCCCCAGCAGGAACAGCTCAGGCGTTTTAAACTGGAGGACCCCTTGTTCGGCGGCAATAGCAAGGCGAACCTGGAGACGTTTCTGCAGCTGGGATCTCCCCCCGTCTGCGTCACGTTCGGCTGCATGGAGGGTCCGCTGGGGACCAGGGATGACCTTGCCCGCCTCCTCGTCGGCGTCGTGGTGCGGGGCCTGTTGCAGGCAGGCCTCCGCGGCGTCTTGGTGAGTGGCAGCGTACCCCTGGAGAAGAGGTTCCTCGATGAGAAGGACCTCGACCTGCAGAGCTACGCGGAAAAGAACATTTTTTTTGTGAAGAGCGCGCCACACGCATGGCTTTTCCCGCGGTGCTCGCTGGTGGTCCATCATGGCGGTATCGGTACTGTGGGGGCCGCTCTGCGAGCCGGATTGCCGTCGGTAACGCTGCTGAAGGTAGCAATCCGAGACCAGGTGTGGAATGCCCACATTCTGCAGTCGATCGGGTGCGGCCTCGCTCTGCACGACAACGAGCTTCTCGGCTCCGCCATCACCTGGTGCTCGACCTCGGAGGCGATGAGGGACAAGTGCGCCGCAATGCGGCACCGGCTGGAGGAGGAGGACGGCGCCGCCGCCACGGTGGCCTCGATCGAGCGCTTCATGCGGGAGGACGTCGACTCTGGCGCGTGGCGGGAGGCGCTGGACGCCCACCTGGCAGAGAAGCGGCAGGCGCTCGAGAGCCTCCGGGAGCGCGGGGGCAAGCCCTGCGCCAACCTCGCGGTCTGCGGCCTCTGCGCCACCTGGCACTCCGAGTGGTGCTGCGCGGCCTGCTCCTGGGGCCAGGGCCACGGCCCCAAGTGCGACAGGGAGCCCCTCGTGCCGGTCGAGAAGCCCGAGGAGGAGGCGGCGGCGGGCGCCGACGAGCCTCCGGGCCCGTCTGGCGGGTAGGGCCCCGCAGCGGGACTGGCGGCCTGGCCAGCCTTGGTGGGCGCTGCGGTGCGCGAAAGGGAATGGACCCGGTCGCAGCGTCCGAGGCCAGGGGTTACTCTAGGGCCACCGCCCGGGGGATCGGGCTTCGGGGGCCTCCACCTGCGGTGGGCACGGACAGGTTCGGGCCTTCGTCCAGGGCCCGAAGGCATCCACGTGCACCACCAGCCGAGGCCCGTGGCAGCTCGATCCCCCAGGCGGTGGTCGTGGATATCTCCCCGCGAGGCTACCCTTGCCCGTAGGCGGCCGAAGGTATCGTTCACTGCATCCGGATGCTATTGCTCATGCCCTTCATCCGCCCAACCCTTTCCTCCCAACACGATGATTGTTCTCCTCATCATCGGGCTTGGGTCAACCACGCGATTGTTCGAGACGAGGCATTCTCTTATCCTTGTGTCTGTCATTTTGCCTTCCTCCCTGCTCGTCGTCAGGCTGATCTGCCGCCAAATTTGAGCGAAGGCGCCTCGCGCGCGAGCTTCTGGAGGACCTCTCGGGGAACTGGTGGGGGTCTTGGGGCCGTCTTGGGCGGGTGGTGGTCCACCCGAGCTCTCTCGAGTATCGGTTGCGAGCGAGGGGGGAAGTGAGAAAGGGAAGGCCTTCTCAGAAGGCGGCGGGACTTCTCCTCAGAAGCCCTCGTGCCTTCTGAGAAATTCTCTGTGTCGGGGAAGACTCGGAAAGCTTCTCAGAAGGCTGGGGGACTTCCGAGCCTTCTGGCCCGCCCCTTCTCGCTTCCCCCCTTCGCTCGCCGCCCAGAGCATGCTCGGCAGGGCTGAATTCAGGATCAAGTCAGTCGCGCACCACGAGCAGGTTGCGCCGGGCACGTCCAGGAGCGTCGGCAACAGTCTGCGGGCCGAGAGGCGGCAAAAGCACACGGCCACCTGCCGACGGCACATCACACAGACATCGCAATCGCGTCGGGGGTGGACAGAACCCCCAACAGTGACACGTCGATTAGTGAATTGTCCGTTTTCGGTTCTCGAGAGGGCGCCGCGGCCGTTATTTTCCAGGCTTGCGCCCGCCAGGTTTGGGCCTCAGGTCGTTTTCACTAAACCACGTTTTACTAAAGGGAGGTCTGTCCATCCCCGATCGCGGCGCAGCGCCGCGTCTCGGCGCCCGCCCGTGCCGTGCAGCCAGGCGATCGCAAGCATGGGTCCGGGGGGCGTGGCTTGGCGACGGGTCCCGCTTTCACGGGGCACCGCGGAGCTCCGCCGCCGAGGGAGGCGGCTCCGGCCGCGTTTTGGGGAGGGCGCCTCCCGCGATCCACGGCTCCTCCGCCTCCTCCTCCGCCTCCTCCCGCCTCCTCCCTCCTCCCTCCTCCCTCCTCCCTCCCCCTCCCTCCTCCCTCCTCCTCCTGCTCCCTCGCCCTCCCTCCTCCCTCCTCCTCCACTTGACGAACGCGCGCCAAGCCCACAGATCGCTGATCCGTGTCGGCGCTCCCCCGAATGCAGCCAGGATGGGCCGTGTTGGGCTCGAGGGGGGGGCTCCGGCACTCGGGCCGTGCCGCGGACCGAGGCCGGGGGGGAAAACATGATGGACCCACGAACCCGGAAAGGGATATAGACATGTGGAGCATGGACACGTTTTCATGATACCCAACTGGGCAACACCTCACGAAACATCCCACGAGACACCTCACGAAACAGCCCACGAGACACCTCACGAAACATTCCACGAGACACCTCACGAAACATTTCACGAGACACCCCGCGAAACATTCCACGAGACACCCCACGAAACATTCCACGACGACAGGCAACCACTCAACCAAGGCGGTGTGGTCGTGCTGGGGAGTGGTCGTGCTGGGGTGTGGTCGTGCTGGGGGGTGGTCGTGCTGGGGGGTGGTCGTGCTGGGGGGGTGGTCGTGCTGGGGGTGGTCGTGCTGGGGCGTGGTCGTGCTGGGGCGTGGTCGTGCTGGGGTGTGGTCGTGCTGGGGAGTGGTCGTGCTGGGGTGTGGTCGTGCTAGGGCGTGGTCGTGCTGGGGCGTGGTCGTGCTGGGGCGTGGTCGTGCTGGGGTGTGGTCGTGCTGTGGTGAGGTCGTGCTGGGGTGTGGTCGTGCTGGGGTGTGGTCTTGCTGGGGTAGGGTCGTGCTGGGGTCGGGTCGTGCTGGGGTGTGGTCGTGCTGGGGTATGGTCGTGCTGGGGTGGGGTCGTGCTGGGGTGGGGTCGTGCTGGGGTCTGGTCGTGCTGGGGTGTGGTCGTGCTGGGGTATGGTCGTGCTAGGGTGGGGTCGTGCATTTCGCTCGAGACATCCTGCCAAAATTCCAGGAAATCGTACAAAAACAAACGAATTAGTCGAGACATCATCGAAATTCCTTCGCGCGGGGCGCTTTTCCGCGTCGCGGTCGGCTCTGCAAAACAAGCGTTTCGCTCGAGACATCCTCGGCAAACTCTGCGGAGCAAGCGTTTCGCTCGAGACATCCTCAACACACGAAAAAGTGGCCCGCACCCTGTGATTTATCGATCGGGATTTCAAAAACAAGCGTTTCGCTCGAGACATCCTCAAATTTTAATTCGCCGGCCTCCTTCGACCTCGATATTTATCAGGGAAAAAAATTCGCCGGCCTCCTTCAAGTTGGCACCGGGGGACAGGTTTACCCACTAAAAGAGAACCCTGGGCCCAGGCCCTTTCCGGGAAAAAAGTGATCGCGCCCGAGGCGCACCGTGGCTGGACGTGAGTCGGGCCTGTCCCTCTACAGGAGGAATGTTCAAACATAGTCAGAAAACAGTCTGGGGACGATTCTTCAGTAGTTTTGAGTGTGTATATATATATGCACATCTTGAATATGTTCTGGGTATTTTTCATGTTGCGTCCAAGATCTGCCCGTAGGGCGACACGCCCGACCTAAGGCTAGACGGAGCTCCTCCGTTCCTTCTTCGGCCTTCCCCTGTGGTGGCGCGATCTGACTGCCAGTTGAGGCGCTCGGTCTGCGTCGTCTGGTGCACCGCAGGCCACGGGAAGTCCGGTGCGCTTCCGCGTGCTTCTTCCGCCGGCCGCCCGCGCTTCCAGCGATCCCCCCGAGCTAGGAAGACGACCCCGTGGGCGAAAGCGCAGCGTCGGACAGCGCTGTCGTCTGGCATCCCCAGGCCACCATCCCCAGCAGCACGAGCTGCCGGTGTGCTGATCGGCTGCTTCATTTCTGGCCGCTTCACGGGGCCAGGACGCCACCGTTCGAGACCCGACGGGGCAGCGCGTGCGCTATGCCGGCCACTTTTCGGAGGCAATGCTCTTGGAGAGCATCTATCTTACGGAGTTCTGCTTCGTTGAGCCACACTGTGTGCAGGCAGTACAGCAGTCGGGTACTGCGCACGTCGGGAAAATCCGCGCTCTCTTCAACAATTGAGAGTTTCGCATCATTGCAGGTGCAAGCTATACTTTCAAACTAAAACTTGAATGCAATTGCACTCGAATTAACCACCAGCTCGAGGTAACATTACTAACATTACTTCACCGTGGCACCGCGACGTTACACCCAGCGGTGCTGCGCCCAGTCCAGCATCGTCTTCAGGTTCGAGTTATGGTTTTGCTTCGGTGTCGAAGAGAAGATGCAACAATGTCACTCCGATTCGAAGTCAGTGACTCGAAGAGTTAGTCTAAGGTCGGACCACACATTCAGTTCAAATTCAAGGAGAAGCTTGAGTTAGGGGACAGGATTCGAAGGAAAAGCAGCATACACATACACATTTGGAGATCCGCTCGGATTCCTTGGATCGGCGCTGGACCCCCTTGGCAGCGCCTCTGGCGCCGCCCCTGGCGCGCTCCGCGCGCCAGGGAAGGGGGTCCAGCGCCGGTCTACGAAATCCGCGTGGACCTCCGAAAGTCTACGTTTATGCGCTCTTTGTTCTGTGCCTCCGAGGAAGTCCGGACCAAAGCTGAAGCGGAAGTGGTCAGGGGCTCCCACCGCGAGGACAGAAGCCGACCACCGGGTCGCCGCCGCGTCATCGCTGGGGGGGGACCACAAAGGTACCGAGGGCCTCTCCCAGGCTGCCTCCAGGTCGAAATCTCGAGGAGGAGGCAGCCGTGGCGGGGCTCTCCGCAGGACGAGCAGCGGCATGGGCCTCCTGGCCTCCCCCGATCCGCGGCGCGTCGGAGGTCGCCCCGCGGGAGCCCCGGCCACGCGCCGTGGCCCCCCCCGAGATCCGACGGCGCGCAGCAGCCAAACATCGTGAAGAATCGCGATCGCGAGCCCCAGACTCCGTCCTTCTGCGCCACTCTTCGAGCCGCAGAAATCTGTGAGGGCCCCGGGGGGCCTGGAACAGGGCGAAGACGCCCGGGTCGAAGAGATCTTTCGAGACCAGCTCTTCCAGGTTCTTGTTTTCACTGCCCTGTCTTCGAGTTCGCCTGGGTGTGCTTCTTGCATAGCCCTCCTGAGGGGCAGCGGATTCCTTAACAAAAAACGCCCGGGTCGAAACAATGGAGACAGCGGGACCTCGGGTAGGGGAAGGCAGGGCTTCTCCCAGGTGGGGGACAAGGCAGACTTTCCCTTGAGGTCCTGTCGTCTACCCCTCCCTGCTCCTGCTCCAGTTCCTTCTGCTCCTGCTACCCCTCGGGGAGGAGGAGGGGGAGGAGGGGGAGGAGGAGGAGGAGGAGGAGGAGGAGGAGGAGGAGGAGGAGGGGGAGGAGGGGGAGGAGGAGGAGGAGGAGAAGGAAGGGAGGAGGAGGAGGAGGAGGAGGAGGGGGCCCTGCCTTCGCCCCCCCCCCCCCCCCCCCCCCCCCCCCCCCCCCCCCCACCCCCACTTGGAAGCAGTCCTGCCTCCCCCCCGCCCGAGATCCTGGCGCTTTTTTTTTTTTTTCGTTCGAGCTGGGCGTCTTCGCCCGGCTTTGGGCACCCCGGGGCCCTCGCAGATTTCTGCGGCTCGAGGAGTGGCGCAGAAGGACGGAGTCTGGGGCTCGCGATCGTGACTGTCCACGATCTTTGACTGCTGCGCGCCGTCGGATCCCGGGGGGGCCCACGGCGCGGCCGGGGCTCCCGCGGGGCGACCTCCGACGCGCCGCGGATCGGGGGAGGCCAAGAGGCCCATGCTGCTGCCCGTCCTGCGGAGAGCCCCGCCACGGCTGCATCCTCCTCGAGATTTCGACCTGGATGCACCCAGGGAGAGGCCATCGGTACCTCTCCAGCGATGACGCGGCGGCGACCTGGTGGTTTGCATCCGAGGTCGAACGCCGCAAGAGGCTCAGAACCGGCCAGCATCGAGCGATTTGCGCTGTCGGAAAGCCGCGGTCGCTCCAGGTGGAGTGGTCCGTGCGGTCTCAGAGACTGAGGCCGCCCACCACTGTGCTTGACCGGTGGCACTTCGCCAGTGGGGGCTCACCTCGCTCTTGCCCGCTCGTAGCTTCTGAACGCCCGCTGCGGAGCCCTTGTTGGTACGAGCGATCGCGTTTCACGGGCGCTTGGCTTGAAAGAAGCGACCCCCCCCTCCCAGGAACCAGGGGGAGGGGGGAGACCCAAAAATTCTCCCCCCCCCTCCCTCCCCAGGAAACGGGGGGGCCCCCCCCATCGGGAGCGACGACGACGACGATGACGACGACGACCACGACGACGACGACGACGACGACAACGCCTACGACGACGACCGGCGACGACGACCGACGACGACGACGACGACGACGACGACGACGACGACGACGGTGGTGACAGCAACGGCGGCGGCGACGACGACGACGGCGACAGCGACGGTGACGGCGTCGGTGACGGCGACGGCGACGGCGACGGCGAAGATGACGACGACGACGTTTCTGGGGAGGACCACCCCCCTCGGGAGCGACGGCGACGACGGCGACGACGGCGATGGCGACGACGACGACGACGATGGCGACGGCGACGGCGACGGCGACGGCGATGGCGACGGCGACGACGTCGAATGCGACGACGACGGCGGCGGCGACGACGACGAGGAAAACGACGACGGCGAGCTGGTGGACCGGTCGGGCGGGCGGGACATCAAATGCAACCCTCAGTGTGCTGGGATGATGATGTTCCAACCTACTTTAGCCTTGATCACCAGATTGAACTTCGAGCACCAAGAAAAAAACCCAAATCGAGGGGTTTCACGTGTCGGGCCCTGGGAGACACTCTTTCGACACTGTTTCGACACTCTTTCGACACTCCTTTGACACTTTTCTGGGTGCTCGAAATTATTTCTACCACCCTCTGGATTAAAAAGTTGTGACCGGCACTATGCGAGAGAGCGATCCCCACGGGTTTCGCCGGTCGACTGGCCCTCGAGCCTCCACCATCGATGAACCCCGAGATGACTCCAAGGCAGGCCCGTGAACCGAATGACGGAACGGCTCCGCAGGGCGTGGAGCTCTGCAGCACAATGTTATGGAAATCATCGCACACGAAATCTTTGTCTTCTGGCGGCATGGAAGGCAACCTGAAAGTGCTGTTTGAGGACGTCTTAAGCGAAACGACCACTTTCAGGCGGCATGAACATCGATCTGAAACTTTTTGTGAGGAAGTCCTAGGCGAAATCGCCACTTTCAGACGGCATGGAAGAATTTCAGATCGCCCTGGAAGGCGATCTGAAACTTTTTTGAGGAAGTCCTAGGCGGAATGCCACTTTCAGACGCCGGCCCCATTTGGCCTTTATAATATTAAAGGGGGTGAGGTATGCGTCTGAAACTCCCAATTCGGCATCAAATCCAACATTGTCCTGGGCCCCGTGGCCTAACGGGTGGCCAACAGCGTCTCTCTCTCTCTCTCGAACCCCGCCGTTCCAACTTTTTAATCCAGCGGGTTGACCGCCGCCAGCGCACGTCGCGTCATTGTCACGTGTTTCCCATGCTCCACATCGGCACGTACAACATTCCTCTAATACTGCGACGCACATTTACAACTTCGTGCGAGATCCGGGCGGGTTCGACCGCAGGCAGTCCTCTGCCATCTCTTTCTGGTTGGTGGACAAGTACCACAACTGATCTGACCTGTGCGTATTGGCCCACCGCACTGCCGCTCGCAGTCGCTTCACGAACTGATCCCTGGGCTCCAACTCAACGGGGCACGTCTCGTCTAGGCGTTCCCGTAAGATTGCCCAAGCATTCTCAATTGCATTGAAGTCATGGGACACCTTCGGGAACTCGTCCACCAGCTTCATGCCGCTGCGATTGAGGGCGTGCAGAGCCTCCGGCGTGCGCAAACACCTTTAATAATCACAGACCAAAAATTCACAGTTCAATCTCCACTCGTCGAACTTGTCTTCTATCAGCTCCACGTACACAGTCCGGTCCATGACCTCGCCTTCGTCGAGCACGTGTATGTTCAGGACACCAGCAGCGAGCATTCCCCACAGCCGCACCGGGTGGCCCTGAGCTCTGTTGTAACACGATGGGCCCACGCAGTCTGCATACAAGGCGTCGCTGTTGTCCGACTTTCTCCACACATGGGACCCTAGTGCCCGGCGCGCTGTGTGCTCGTGCTCATCTGCTGTTCTATCGCAGTAGTACGTGGTTCCACCCACGTAGGCCCGCGTCTCCAGGGTGGCTTGGTGTTTCCGCTTCACGCCTTGAGAGTAAGCCACGCGAGCAGCCCGATGCTCAGCAACCACGATGCTCTTACTGCGGCGCCTGAGCCATTGGAGGTCGGCCTCAGCAAGACGTTCTTCCACCAGCGTATCGGACACCTTTCGCAAGAGTGGGCACTGCTTCTTTAGCCGGCTCACGGTCATTTTCGTCTTCCCGCGGTTGGCCAGTACCCATTTGACGATGTCCTTGTCTTGCTTCTCGGTTGTCTTGCGCGGGGCCCCAGACCCCGCGCCTCTCTCTCCGCGCCGCCCAGGGCTCTCCTGCAACTTTTTCATGCAATTCCCTATTGCCGTCTCAGAAAAAGTAGTTTTCCCGTCTGCCTTCTTCACGCGTTGGGATATGCTCGTGCACCCCAAACCGTGCTCCATGTGGGCTTTCACCTGTCCAACCTCAAAAGGGGACAACTGATGCGAGGCCATCGTGGACAGCGACGCCTCCCTGAGGCAGCAACTCGCGCGCGCAGGAGACTTGAGCCAAAACGGCTACGGACCCCAAAGACATGCCCTCGGCGAGCTCACCCTGCCTGCGTGGCGTTATCGACCCACGAATGTTGCTGTGGGCCCCGCGCACCCCCTATGGTGCCGAGAAAATACCAGGCCTGCCATGCCCTGCACAACCGGCGCGCATAGCGGCCGCGCTCCGAGAGCACCTCCAGCGCACCCCCTGTGGTGCCGAGAAAACACCAGGCCTGTTATGCCCTGCGCGACCGGCGCGCATATCGGCCGCGTTCGGAGACACCCCCTAGCGTACCCCCTTATGGCGTCGAGAAAATGCCGCGCCTGCTATGCCGTGCGCGACCGGCGCGCATGGCGGCCGCGCTCAGAGACCACCCCCTGCGCACCCCGATGGTGGCGAGAAAGTGCCAAGAGAAACGCAGCATCAGGTTTTCACGTTTGCATTGCCCTGATGCGATTGTGCGAGAATGCACGAAACACCATAGGAAACGCTGCAATTGGACGCGGCGTCGGGCCATCTCTGCAGGCAAGGTTGTTCCTAGAAACACACCCGACCCCTGCCAGCAGCGGATGGAGACAATGATTTTTTGGTCGGCCGCAAGTCTGGTCAGTTCGTGCCTCGAGCCCTTGCTCGTGTGGGGGGCCCTCGCCCTGCAAGTCCGCGTGCTGCTGCTCTGCTGGGCGCCTGCGTTTCACCGTCCTCGCAAAACTCGAGAACGCGTTGTCGACCTCAGTTGGGAGCTTCGTCTTGTCGTAGAAGGCCTCGCCCTCTGCCAGCCGCACGAGGACTGTGTTCTTGCAGAGCCAGCGAGAGCGCCAGGGCGAGTCGTCGTCCACCAAGTAAGAGTCCGGCGCGTCCCAGTCGACCGTCGCCACCACGGCGACACCGTACAAGTACTGAGGGTACGCGTACACGTTGGTGGCGCTTTGGCCCCCGCGGGACTTGCTGTTCCTCGCCTGCAACGCCGCCCTCCACCGGGGCAGCTGCGCCCACGAGTTGCAGTTGTCCAGCGCCAGCCAGTCGTGCTCGTCGCATTGGAAGCTTCGGAGGTCCAGGTGCTCTGCCCCCTCGACTGTCAGCGCCAGTGGCTTGCTGAAGAGGCTCTCTGCGTAGTTCGACTTCCCAGAAGCACTGTCGGCCACAAGGGCCAAAAGCTTCCATCGAAAGTCGAGGGCGAGGAACGAATCCTCCCACTGCTGCGCGGCTGGGAAAGTGCGGAAGGGGGCGCGGTTCATGTCCAGCGCGGCATCTACGCGAGAGATACGCTCGTCGATCCGAGCCTCTTTTTCACCCGCCCGGACAGCCTCAACGTTGCGCTTCCTGTCTGCGAGGCCCACGCGGACCCGCAGCGCGAGGGCGTCGTAGGTGTCGTTCTCGAGCTTTCCGTCGGTCCACAGGGCGTCCAACCACGGGCCCATGACCTTGTAGTCAGACCAAGGCTTCCAGTTCGACCCCTTGAAGAGCGTGCCCTTCTTTGGTGCCCAGCAGTAGAAGTGTCCGCGGTTTTTCGTCTCTGCAAAGTTCGCGCCCCTGGCTGCTTTCGAACCGGGTGGGGCGAAGGGTCGGCGGCGTCCGGCTTGACGCCGTGAAAGGCGAAACAAACCGTGTTGGGCTCGTCCAAGGCTGCCGAGACGTCCACCTTCCAGTGAAAGTGCACCCTCCCGGGAAGGTCGCTGTTGAGAGACTCCTGAAGCGTGCTGGTGCTCTTTTTGACCTGCAAGTCTTTCTTTTTCTGGCCCTCGAAGTGCTTCCAGAGCTGCCGCAAGTCTTCAGCAGACGCTGCCGCTGGAGTGCCGTCCGGGAAATCCACGCCGAGAAAATCCCAGTTGTAGGTGGGAAGGAAGCTCGTGCCACGCAGCCGAAACCCAACCACCTCGTCCTCCTCGTCCGCCTCGTCCTCCTCGGGGGGCCACGAGTCCTCGTGGGCCTTGTAAGCGGCGGCCACCGCCGCCTTCTGCGCCGCCCCAGCGCTCGAAGACTCAGCCAGGCGAGCAAGTGCTTCTACCTTGTCCCTGGCGGCGTTGTCTCTGGGTAGCTCCGAGTGGTGAACGCCTGCTGCTTTCGCTGCCCTGCTCAACGCCTGAACCAGCTTCGGCCGAGTGGCCGAAGACATGTTTCGAACCGAAATGGCTACGGGTCTGAACGCTGGGGATTGCCCAAACCAAGCGTTTTTGGCAACCTAGGATGTGGTCCTTAAGTGCGATGGGAGCAACATTGCTGGGAAAAGGTCATGGGGAAAGTATCACAACCGCCAAAGGCGATCGGGCGGGCGGAACATGAAATGCCACCTGTAGGCAGCTGGCGGGACAGTGCGTGTAGCCGTAGCCGTGTGAAATGAGAAAGTTCAGGGGGAACCGATCGCAACCGCCGAGGACGGGGCGGGCGGGACATTCAAATAACCATTCGCGCAGTGATGGGGCGTCCATACTGGGCGGGCGGAACATCAAATGCAACCTTCACTCTGCGATGGGGAAAGGTCATGACAATTTATATCAGAACCGCCAAAGATTCCGCTCGGGCCGCGGGCGGAATATCAACTGAATCCTGTGGTCAGTGATGGGCCATCCAAACTTGGCGCGCGGGACATTGGATGCAACCGTCGCTGATTGAAATGAGAGACTTATGGGAAAAGGGATCACAATCGCCGCCGACGCCGTTCGGGCGGGCGGGACACTGAAGGAACTATTAACTCAGTGATGGGACTTCCATATCGGTTGGTCGGGACAAGAAATGCAACTTGCATTCTGTTGGGGGAAGGTCGTCGGACACGAGCACCATGCATTTCAACCGCCAAAGACGCAGGACCGGCGGGCGGGACATTACATGAAGCTTGTAGGAAGTGGTGGCGAGTCCAGATTAGGCGTGCGGGACATCAAATGCAACCTGCACTGTGTGAAAAGGGAAAGATAAAAGGGGGAATGGATCACACCAGCCGAAGACGTCGTACGGGCGGGCGGGACCTTGAAGTAACCCTTCGCTCAGTGATGTGGCGTCCATGCCATTCGGGTCGTCCTCGTCCTCGTCCTCGTCCTCGTCCGCGTCGTCGTCGTCGTCGTCGTCGTCGTTGTCGTCGCCGTCGTCGTCGTCGTCGTCGTCGTCGTCGTCGTCGTCGCCGTCGTCGTCGTCGTCGTCGTCGTCGCCGTCGCCGTCGCCCGTCGTCGACGCCGTCGTCGTGGTCCTCGTTCGCGCGTGCCAGCCTCCTGTCGCCATCGTCGTCGCCGTCACCGCCGCCGCAGCCGCCGCCGCCGCCGCCGCCGCCGTCGTCGTCTTCGTCGTCGTCGTCGTCGTCGTCGTCGTCGTCGTCGTCGTCGTGGACGTCGTCATCGTCGTCGCCGCCGCCATCTTCGTCTTCGTCGTCGTCGTCGTCGCCGTCGTCGCCGCCATCGCCGTCGTCGTCGTCGTCTTCGTCGTCGTCCACGTCGCCGTCGTCGACGCCATCGTCGTGATCCTCGTTTGCGCGTGCCAGCCCCCTGTCGCCATCGTCGTCGTCATCGTGTGCGTTTGCTGGCCCCCCTCGTTGTCGTCGTCGTCGTCGTCGTCGGCCCTCGGGATTGTAGAGGGAGGGCCCCCCCCCCGAACCCTTTCCCCCCCGGGGTGGGGCATCCCCCAGTTCTCGGGGGGGTCCCTCCCCCCGCGGGTTCGGAACCAAACGCGGTCTTTCATTGGTGCATGTCGATGGGCAGCGGGGGCAGGATTCACATGCGATTGCCCATCGAACCGAGACCTCTGAGCGGCGCCCAAAACTTAACCGACGCGCGTCTTCTGCCATTCTCGGCCCATGGCCCATGGGGGGTCGCTTGCCCGCCCAGGAGCTCTTCGCGCATTGCAGCCGCTGCCCCAGCCCCGTGACGCCGCCCCGCGCCCGCTGCAAGGCGTGCAGCATTGGCTGGTCGCCCCGGCCGCTCTGCAGCGGGCCCCACCGCGTGAGCGCTCTCCTTCCTTCCCCCCCCGCCCGCGGCCGCTTCCACCCCTCCATTTCCCACCCTTGCTGCCGGTCAATTCGCGATGCAATTGCCCGGGCTTGCCCGGGCGCGCGTGCGGACAGCCTTCTGCTGCGTTGCGGCGTGAAGCGCTTGTGTGTGTCGCCCCCGCAGGGGCGACGCGCGCGCTCGGAGAGATCTTAGAGTAAACTCGGTGGCAGGCGTTTTCTGGCCACACCGCTGGGGTAAGGATGGGTTTTGTTTTTAAATTTGCTGTACTACTCTAGGCCTCCCAGATGGGGTCCGAGTAGATGGGGTCGGAGGATTGCGCCGCATCGCCGACGCATCGCCGACGCGGCTCGAGGTGGAACCCAGTTTCCTTCACGCGGACGTCGCCGATGCATCGCCGACGTCGCCGATGCATCGTGGATGCATCGCCGATGCATCGGCGATACATCGGCGATCCAGTGCAATCCTCCGACCCCATCCACTCGGACCCCATCTAGGATGCCTCCAACTATACATTCGCGTCGGACGTGCGTTTCCCATCGTGCCGCGTAGCACTCGTATGTCCTCCTGGCGTCCCCGCACGCCGTGAAAAACTGGAGCGGCTTCGGAATCCTGGGGGACGTCAGTTGGTGGCAGGAGTAAGTGCAGCCCCCGGGTCGCACCGCAGCCGATGGAGGAAAAGCCACCCAGACCCGACAGTTGGCGTTTATTAAACGGCCCTGGGCGTTGACTAAACATTTTTGTCCTGTTCGATTCCTTCTAGTCTATGGGCGTGTTTAGTAAGCGGCTTCGCGTGTCGGTGTGCTTGTTATGAGGGTGCATTTTCTGCTCCCTACGCAGCGCCCATGGACTGGCGAGATCTGGGCTCTGGCCTCCGTCTCGACATCGCGGGCGCATTTCCCGCGCCTCGACGATCTGCCCGTGCGTCGCCGGCCCAGCAGGCACGGCGCGCGCATCTGCGCCTCGGCGCAGTGTGCCCGAACGCGCGTGATCAGCACAGCTTCCATAGCCGCCGCGGCTGAGGCCTGTTGCTCGAGGCTTGCCTCCGGCTTGGTGCCACGAGAGGTTTCCTAGCCATGAGAGCCGGAGAGGTTTGGCTGCTTGTTTTCATTACTCTGGCTCATGCCGATGCCTACTCCTGCCCAGACTTTGACGCAATTGGTCAGCCAGGCGTTCATCCGAGCAAGTGGCGTCAAGAGGATCTGAATGGTGTGTGGTACGTTGTTGCAACCAATGAGCCGACGATCCCGACCGATATGATGAGAAAGTGCGGTGTCCTGAATTGGACGGTTTACACCGACGAGTATCGATACACTAACACAGTCACTCAGATGGGGTTGTGGCGCGTCAACATCACCGTCATGAATGCTGGATATCGATCGAAAGACCCTCTTCGTCCAGGCAATTGCACAGAGGGTTTCGGACTATTCAACCGCACGGTCGACGTTACTGCGGGTCCTAACATGTTCTTCAACTATTCCGCAGCCGAAGGATTTTACATGTCATATGCCTGCATTGGCAAAACCATGTTTTCTTACATCCTTGCAGCCAGGAGCCCTTTGCGTTCTGTGGAGTGGATCCACGAAAAGTTGGGTTGGGCATCGGCACTTGGAATATTGGATATGGAGAATGTTGTCATCAGTGATGCACATACCAGGCGAACGCTGTGTTGGGGTGAGAGTAGTGATGCAGTGGTTGTGTAAGGACTCGACTGCCCAGAGTTCCACAGACACCATGTATTCCTTCACCAGAACCTCGCGCGCAGGTTCTAGCACGCTTTGGTTGTAGTCTCAAGTGCTTGGCAACGGAGGACATATAGTGGTTAATGCGTTCCTTTTGAATCTCTCCTTGGGAGTCTTGGGGGCTTGTTGGGTTTTCTGAAGGCCATCCTGGAACGTCTGAGGGCCCTCTTAGGACATGTGGGGGGCATCGTTGGCCTTCTAATGCTCCTCGAGGTCCAGCTTCCCAGGGCCAGCGACCGAGGCTCGCACCGGATCCAGTCCCTGAATTGTGGTTAGAAGTTTTACGATGTCGCGGCGTAGGCGTCGTGCATCCGTGTAACTGCTGGTTTTGGAAGATGCGCGTGCGCGGTGCCAAAGCCAGAGCCCACTTTTACACACGAAGGGGCCGTGAACTGAGGCTCGCACCGAAATGAGTCCCTCACTTGCTTTGAACAACACCCTCTAAGAAGGGCATTTTTCAAAGTAGGTGAGGTCCGCGATTTGGAGCCATTCTGGCCAACTTCTCAACTGAGGTTCGCACCAGAATCAGCCCCTGAACTGTTTTTTAAGTACACAGTTGGAAAGGGATTTGTCAAAACAGGTAAGAGCTCTTGTTTGAAGATGCCACGGCATGGGCGCCCTCCATCCGTGTAACTGTTGGTTTTTGAAAGATGAGCGTGCGCGGCGCCAAAGCCAGAGCCGAATTTTGAATACCCAGGGGGCGTGAACTGAGGCTCGCACTGAAATCAGCCGATATCAGCTTTGAAAAGCATCCTCCAAAGACGGCCCCAGAGACACGCTTGGCTTCGTTTCCCCTGGCCCATGTCGGCACACTCCTCGCAGGGATCGCGCCTCACAGGGAGCTCCACGTACATACCCAGAGACAAGTTTCGAGTAGTGGCACGCCCCTCACACGGATCGTACCCTGCGAGTACTTGCATCTGCGGCGCCAGAGGGAAGCTTCGTAGCGTCGCCCCGCGCATTTCTGCACACCTCTGACACGGATCGTGGCCCGCAGGGAGATCCACGGACGGCCCCAGAGACAGGGTCCGCATCCCGCCCACCCGCCCCTCCGCCTACTTCGGCACACCCCTCACACGGATCGTGGCCCACAGGGATCTCCACCCACGGCCCCAGAGGCAGGGTTCGCATTGCCCCCCCCCGCCCATTGCAGCACACCCCGTCACGCGGAAAAATGGTTCGCACATCGCTCCCCCGCCCATGTCGGCCCACCCGCTACGCGAACCATGCACCAGAAAGGAGGTCCACCCACAGCACCAACGCGCAGCTTCGCATGGCGCCTCCCCGCGCATTTTGGAATCTGCCTCTCACGGGTCGTGCCCAGAAGAGCTCCACTCGTGGCCTCCGTGTGCGTGTTCGCGCGGGGGCATCCGAATTATTCGACACGCCCTTCACGCGGACCGTGGCCCACAGGGAATTCAGCGCGCCCGTGCACGCGTGTTCCTCAGCAGCGGGGCCTCCTGGCATGCTTCTCGGGCGCCTCGCGGAGCGACCTTTGAAGCTTCACTTGGGGGCTGCTTGGAGGTCTCGTGGGGAACCTCTCTTGGGGCCCTTGGGGGCCTCTTGGGGGCCTGCTGGAGGCCTCGTGGGCCCAATGTTGGCTGAGGGTTCGAACTGTCAGTAGGAGTTCCGCCTCTTGGACCCCTGTTGGGGCCCTCTTGGGCCGTCTTGGGGCCCTCCTGGGAGCCTCTTTGGCCGTCTTGGGCGATCTTGGGGACCCCTTGGGCCGTCTTGGACGCTGTTACACCGAAAGAGAGAGAGAGAGAGAGATACGTATATATATATATATATATATAGAGAGAGAGAGAGAGAGAGAGAGAGAGAGAGAGAGAGGGCGCGCAAATGATAGAACTCTACGTTCTCTTGAAGGGGTGGGGCGATTTTGGCCTCCTGGGGCCGCTTGGGGAGCATCTTGGAGCTTTGTT